GACAGGTATGCAAAATGCTGAATCATGCAGTCTGGGATGATGCAGTGCCCACACTGATTGGCTATATGTAAATGTGCATGTGTATAACTGTGTGGACCTGTGGAGAAGGTGTAGGATATCTTCTAATGAATGTCATGCTGCCGGTTTGTACTGCTGAACTTCTGTATATACTGTAAATACACTTGGTGTTGAAACAAGCTGTCTTTGACTGTGTGAATCAACTGGACTGCCTGGACTGGGACAAAATCTCTGCTGACTTACACCAACAATTATGCTCAAAGTCCTACAAGGTAGGTTTCAGCAGTATGTGGACCGAGAACTCCCAGAAGTACAAGCTGGATTTTTCAGGGGCAGAGGAGCTAGAGACCGAATTGCTAACATGAGATGGATTATGGAGAAAGCCAGAGAGTTCCAGAAGAACATCTACTGCTTCATTGACTACGCAAAAGCCTTTGACTGTGTGGACCACAACAAACTATGGCAAGTCCTTAAAGAAATGGGAGTGCCTGACCACCTTATCTACCGCCTGAGAAATCTATATGTGAGACAGGAAGCAACACTTATAACTAGGTATGGAACAACTGATTGGTTCAAAATTGGGAAGCCTTGCCGTACTCCTTTCCCAATTTTGAACCACTCAGTTGTTCCATGACCAGTTCTAACTGTTGCTTCCTGTCCCACATATAGGTTTCTCAGGAGATGGATAAGGTGGTCAGGCACTCCCATTTCTTTAAGAACTTGCCATAGTTTGCTGTGGTCCACACAGTCAAAGGCTTTTGCATAGTCAATGAAGCAGAAGTAGATATTTTTCTGGAACTCTCTGGCTTTCTCCATAATCCAGCGCAAGTTAGCAATTTGGTCTCGAGTTCCTCTGCCTCTTCGGAATCCAGCTTGTACTTCTGGGAGTTCTCGGTCCACATACTGCTGAAGCCTACCTTGTAGGATTTTGAGCATAACCTTGCTAGCGTGTGAAATGAGTGCAATTGTACGGTAGTTGGAGCATTCTTTGGCACTGCCTTTCTTTGGGATTGGGATGTAGACTGATCTTTTCCAATCCTCTGGCCACTGTTGAGTTTTCCAAACTTGCTGGCATATTGAATGTAGCACCTTAACAGCATCATCTTTCAAGATTTTAAATAGTTCAATTGGAATGCCATCACCTCCACTGGCCTTGTTGTTAGCCAGGCTTTCTAAGGCCCACTTGACTTCGCTCTCCAGGATGTCTGGCTCAAGGTCAGCAACTACATTGTCTGGGTTGTCCGGGATATCCACATCTTTCTGATATAATTCCTCTGTGTATTCTTGCCACCTCTTCTTGACGTCTTCTGCTTCTGTTAGGTCCTTCCCATTTTTGTCTTTTATCATGTTCATCTTTGCGCAAAATGTTCCTCTAATATCTCCAATTTTCCTGAAGAGCTCTCTGGTCTTTCCTTTTCTGTTATCTTCCTCTATTTCTTTGCATTGTTCATTTAAGAAGGCCCTCTTGTCTCTCCTTGCTATTCTTTGGAAGTCTGCATTCAATTTTCTGTAACTTTCCCTATCTCCCTTGCATTTTGCTTCCCTTCTCCTCTCTGCTATTTCTAAGGCCTCGTTGGACAGCCACTTTGCTTTCTTGCATTTCCTTTTCTTTGGGATGGTTTTCGTTGCTGCCTCTTGGACAATGTTACGAGCCTCTATCCAAAGTTCTTCAGGCACTCTGTCCACCAAATCTAGTTCCTTAAATCTGTTCTTTACTTCCACTGTGTATTCATAAGGGATTTGGTTTAGATTATACCTGAGTGGCCCAGTGGTTTTTCCTACTCTCTTCAGTCTAAGCTTGAATTTTGCTATGAGAAGCTGATGATCAGAGCCGCAGTCAGCTCCAGGTCTTGTTTTTGCTGACTGTATAGAGCTTCTCCATCTTTGGCTGCAGAGAATATAATCAATCTGATTTCGATATTGCCCATCTGGTGATTTCCATGTATAGAGTCGCCTCTTGTGTTGTTGGAAAAGAGTGTTTGTGATGACCAGCTTATTCTCTTGACAAAACTCTATTAGCCTTTGTCCTGCTTCGTTCTGAACTCCAAGGCCAAACTTCCCTGTTGTTCCTTTTATCTCTTGGCTCCCTACTTTAGCATTCCAGTCCCCTAGAATGAGAAGAACATCTTTCTTTGGTGTCAGTTCTAGAAGGTGTTGTAGATCTTCATAGAATTGTTCAATTTCAGTCTCCTCAGCAATGCTGGTTGGTGCATAAACTTGGATTATTGTGATGTTGATTGGTCTGCCTTGGATTCGTATTGACATCATTCTATCATTTTTGAGATTGTATCCCATTACAGCTTTTCCCACTCTTTTGTTGACTATGAGGGCTACTCCATTCCTTCTACGGGATTCTTGTCCACAATAGTAGATATGATAATCATCTGAGCTGAATTGGCCCATTCCTGTCCATTTTAGTTCACTGATGCCCAGGATGTCGATGTTTATTCTTGCCATCTCCTGTTTGACCACCTCCAGCTTCCCAAGGTTCATAGATCTTACATTCCAGGTTCCTATGCAGTATTTTTCTTTGCAGCACTGGATTTTCCTTTCACTTCCAGGCACGTCCACAGCTGAGCGTCCTTTCGGCTTTGGCCCAACCACTTCATTAGCTCTGGAGCTACTTGTACTTGTCCTCCACTCTTCCTCAGTAGCATGTTGGACGCCTTCCGACCTGAGGGGCCCATCTTCCAGCATCATATCTTTTAGCCTTTTGTTTCTGATCATGGGGCGTTCTTGGCAAAGATACTGGACAAATTTTATACAGCATCCACTTTTGTATTCTTTATCTCCCTAATTCTTTATCTCCCTGAAAAGAGAATGTATTTTCTAGAAGAGAGTGGTGTCAAGCTTTTTAATAACAAAAGGGAAAGCAAACTACTGTTTATGGTACCCTTAGCTCTTTGAGAGAAAGAGGAAGGACAGGGCTTTGTGGGTACATTCTTGGCTATAATGTGTGACTTTGAGCTTGTATTCTTAGCAATGGCCACAAGAGGGCACACAAAGATAAGAAAGAAAAAAAATGCAAACTTTTAACTGGAGCAGGGCCAGAAATCGCACATTCATAGCTTACCTTCTGTCCCTCTTCTACTCTTCTGGTCTTGCTTTCTCTTCTGAGCAGAAAACTTCACAATTCCCTGTCTGGGAAAGTGGTGAAGGCTACCTCTGTTATCTATCAGCCTGTCTATCTCTGAAGTAAAAAGCCTTTTACCAGATCCTCAGCACATTGTGCCTGCTTCATTCTTTTCCACCTGAAGCCTTGAATTCTTCTAGATAATAACTTGTTGGATCAGGGTGGGGTAATTGTTTTCAGCAGAGAGCAGAAAAATCAGGGCAGTTCATGACAATAACCTATTATACAATGACGTTGTGTATTAAAAAAAACCAATGATTTTTTTTACAAATCAGATTGCTTTAAATCCCAATTTAAATCACAATTTAAATATTAAAAAATGTTTTTTTAAAATTTAAATCACCAAAAATATCTGATTAAAAAAATTAAATCAAATCCAATCTATACTGTTGAGGGCTTTGAAGTCTGCAAGTAGCAGCAAAATGTTTCTGGAAACAAGTATGCATGTTTCAGAACTTCTCCCTCATCAACAGTGGTGACTGATATCTGTAGCAACTGCAATTTCTGAGTAAGAAAAAGCAAAAGCAAAAGTATTGTGGCACTGTTGAGACTAAAAAAAGAATTTTTTTCCAATTGTGAATGTTTTATGTGTAGTTTTATGGCTTACTATATCTACTCTATATCTATATAAGTTTGACAAGCAGCCTTTACCTTAGACAAGCAGCCTTTACCTTAGTTTTGCTTACTTTTATTGATTCTAATTTAATTAATAGTGTATAATTTAATTTGTTTATATTAATTTGTTATTGTTAATTATCATGTACTTACTCTTACCTTGAGTTTTCTGCTACTGTTCGACTGTTTTGTGCTAAGAATGGAGAGGAAGGCCTGCCTACCAGTGGGGGCTTCAATAACATACAGGTGACTATGGGTAGGGGAAGATATGGCATTGGTACAGCTCTTAGTCATTCCAGAACAATGGTGGACAAATGCCTGAAAGCTGTCTTTTGTTCTGGCGCTGTTGCCACCTGCCAGGCTCCAGTTGTCCCTCCACTCTAACTTTGGTGCTGCTGAATGCCAGGTCTGTATCCAATAAAGCCCAGATAATGCAAGACCTTATTCTGGAAAAGGATGCAGATCTGGCTTGCATAACCGAGATGGGTAATGAAGGGGGTGTTCCCCTGTCTCTGGCCTGTCCCCTGGTAGACTGGAGGGTTGGGGGGAGTTGCCATTGTTTATCTGGACACCTTTGAGGTTGTCAGGCTCTTTGCCATGGCGATGCCAGGCCTAGAGGCCATCCACATGAAGATTAGGGCTAGGGACGGTATTGGGATCTTTGCTGGCATCCAGCCACCTCCCTACAGGAGCTACCCAACTTCATCTCCACGGCTCTGTTGGAATCCCCAAGACTGTTTGTCTTGGGTGATTTCAACATCCATGTGGAAGCAGAGGTTACCAGTCCGGCTCTTGAGTTTTTGGAAACCATGGCTTCCTTGGACATGTCCCAACATTAACAGCCCCACACATGTGGACAGTCACATGCTAGACCTGGTGTTCTCCACCGAGCGGAGTGAGTGTGGTCTGATGGTGACTGACCTTGTGTCAGTTCCCTTGTAATCGTTGGACCACCACCTGATAAAGTGCAATCTCTCAGTGGCCCTCCACATGGGGAGCAAAAGGCCTATTTTCATGGTCCACCCTCACAGGCTACTGGATTCTATTGGTTTCCAGGATGCCATGAGTGGGATTCTGATTAACCTGGCTGGCCCTCCTGTCGAGGCCCTGGATGGATGGCTGGTATGCCGCTGCTGCCAGGGCTGTAGACATGATCGCTCCTTAACACCCTCTCTGCCGTAGAGCACGACCAGCACCTTGGTTTAACCACCAGATGCAGGTTATGAGGTGGAATATGAGAAGGCCAGATAGCATTTTGAGGCAGAACCTGACGGAAAATAACTTAAATGCTGCCAAAGTAGCATCTGACTTCTACCTTGGTGTCCGGGTAAGCGAAGCATCCAATCAGCAGGTGGAACTTTTCTGTATGGTATGCAAATCCAATCAGCAGGTGGAACTTTTTTGTATGGTATGCAAACTATCTGGAATTGGCCACAACAATTGGCCTCCATCTAGCACTTCTTGTGACCAATTTGCAGCATTTTTTTAAATTGAAAGTGGAGGTCATCCGCCAGGATCTTGCACCCAATTCGAAAACTTGCAGCATTTTTTAAATTGAAAGTGGAGGTCATCTGCCAGGATCTTGCACCCAATTCGAAAAAAGTGGATTGAGCTGAGATATTCAGTGCAGCGCCTTCTCCACTGAGAATTACTCACTTTCATCCTGTGACATCTGCAGAGGTGGACAAGATCCTTGATCGCTGCTGAGCTATCACCTCCTCCCTTGACCCTTGCCCGGCCTGGCTAATCAAAGCTGCCAGGCCAGTGATAACTGAATGGGCCACTCAAATAATAAATGGGTCTCTTCTTGAGGGTAAGGTTCCTGTCACCCATTAGGAAGAAACCAAGCTTGGCGGGAGACAATATTGGCAATTATAGGCCCATCGCCAATGTTTCTTTTCTCAGCCAAGGTAGTGGAGAGGTTGGTGGCCAACCAGCTTCAGGTTCTCTTGGATGAAACTGATGTCCTGGATCCATTTCAGTTGGGCTTCAGGCAATGCCATGGCATGGAAACGGCATTGGTCGCCCTGCTGGGTGATCTACTTAGGGAGGCTGACAGGGGCAAAGTGTCCTTGCTCATACTCCTTGATATCTCAGCCACCTTTGATACTGTTGACCATGGTATCCTCCTGGGGAGGTTCTCTGAGTTGGGGATTGGTGGCCTTGCTCTCACTTGTTTCTGGTCCTTCTTGTAGGGCTGTCCCCAGAGAGTTCAGCTTGGGGAACATGTATCAGCCCTGTGGTCCCTCAGTTGTGGGGTCTCAACAGGGTTTGGTCATCTCCCCAATGCTGTTTAACATCTATATGAGGCGGGGAGGGGTGTCATCGAGGGATGTGGAGCTTCACGTCACCAATATGCTGATGACACCCAGCTCTACATCTCCTTTTTTCCATCTACAGTGGATGCCGTTCCATCCCTTGGGTGTTGCCTCGAGGCCGTTCTGCAATGGATGCAGTCTAATGGACTAAGGTTGAACCCAGACAAGATGGAGGTCCTGAGGGTGGGTGGCCCCAATGTCAGTGGTTTGGGGAACTCCCTCTCTTTTGGAGGGGTGAATCTCACCACAAAGAATTTGGTTTGCAATCTGGGAGTCCATCTTGACCCAGCGCTTACCATGGAGACCCAGGTAGCATCCGTGGTTCGGTCTGCCCACTTGCATATCCGGTGGATCACCCAGCTGCATCCCTATCTATACACGGGGCACTCAACGCACTGGTCCATGTGCTCAGGTAGCGTCTGTGGTTCGGTCTGCCCACTTGCATCTCCGGTGGATTACCCAGCTGCATCCCTATCTATACGCAGGGCACTCAACACACTGGTCCATGTGCTCGTAGTGTCAAGAATAGACTACTGTAACACTCTGTACATGGGGCTTCCTTTGAGACAGATGCGGAAGCTTCAGATGGTCCATAACACGGTGGCCAGGCTATTAACAGAGGTGAAAAGATTTCACCATATTTCCTCAACTTTGGTCGCCTTACACTGGCTACCTATCTGCTTCTTCATTGATTTCAAGGTGCTAACCATTACATATAAAGCCCTCAATGGTTTAGGACCTCAATTCCTGGCATAGCACCTTCTTCCAGCCAGCTCTATCCATATCACCCATTCCAGTCAGACCAGGAGGCTGAGGGACCTAATGCCAAGAGACGCCTGGTGGGGAAAAAACTAGAAATCAGGGCCCTCGCCTTTGGAACAATTTACCTGTAGACATCCACCTGGCTCCCTTGCTGAGGGCCTTCAAGACTAACCTGAAGACATGGCTATACAGGCAGGCCTTCCCTACAGCCGTCACCTAGCCTATCTTCCCTTTTCTTTTTTGGACTAATCTGGATTTTATCTTAGTTTATTTTTATATTATATGTAAATCTCCCAGAGTAGACACATTCTAAATGGGGCGGTATATAAATCTAATAAATAAATAAGTAAATAAATAAACACTCCTTCAGAAATATGGAGTACAGTGTACTTGGTGGGGAAATTATGGGACCAAGTGGCAGGGAGGGTGGGTATAGGACCAAGTGGAGTGACGGTTGCCTATTGTAATGCCTGTGGTAATTCCTGTCTGTTTTGAGGATCTGAGCAGATCTAGTTATATTTAACAGCTTCCTTGTAAACGATAGCTTTTGTTATGTGTCCTGGATGGAAACTGGAGACAGGGAAGTATTTGTTGCAATCAGCGGGTGAACGACATAGTGTGTTGCTTATCTGCTCATTGTACAGCTGCACAAGAGTATCCAGAGAGTGCTCCTGCTGTGTAAATTGTTCTAGAGTCAAATAGATTACAGGTTAAAAGTCATGGAATTTGTGGCGGAACTTCTCAAGTGATTCCTTTTTGTGAGTCTGTATGATAAAATGTCATCAGTCTGATCAGAAATACAGTAGGGTCTTTATGGTGGAGGATCTGAGGAAGCATTTTTCATGGCCAGCCATGAATATGTTTGGAGTTTTGTGGCTAGATGTCCTATATCTTCATGGAATATTTCACACAAGGATGGATTACAAGTTTTTGATTGCTTGTAGTCCATCCTTGTGTGAAATATTACTGTAAAGTGTCTCCACACCCTTGATGATTAGGAGGCATTTTCTGGGAGATGGTGAAATATGGACTGTAGTTTTTTTCCGGGAAGTCAGTAATGACTCTTACATAGCCAGAAACATTGGTGGCATGTGGTTTGAGGGGAAAGTGCATAAATATCCAGAATTGCCAGCAGTGATTGTGTTGATACTTGATACAAGGGTTTGTGTATTTTGAGCAATTGATGAAAGTACTGTAGCTTGGCTGCGGCTCCTTGTGATGTATCTATTTAGATTTGGTTGCAGACATGTCTGAGAAATTCTTTCATTAGGTCGTGTATTTCCTGCTGATGTTTGCAATTGGATCTGCAGATAGGGACATGTAAAATGTGGCATTGAATACTTGTCTCTTAGTCTTCTGTACATGCAGCAGAGCACAGCCGTTATGACTTAATTCGTTCCCCAATAACAGTTGTAAAGGTGAGTTATTGTAAGTTGAATAGGTTTGGCTTATGGCCAGTTCTGAAGCCTCACTTCTGCTCTGCTCTCTTTCTCTGCCCTCTGCCATCTTGCTTACTCATTCTGACCCTCTCTGCCATTCTCTTTTTACTCCCATCTGTTTTCTACATACTTGCTTCTTTCTGTGTTTCTCAATGGTCTTCTTTCTTGCCTCTCTCTCCTTCACCGTCTTGCTCTTCTCTCCCATGCCATTACCTCCATCCTTTACTATTTCCCCTGATGTTGCACTTCCTGACATAACTGTGCCAATTCTAGAGACTGTAAAACTGAGTTTGGCCGGTGATGGAGAGCACTGTGTAACTCTTGAGTGGTTGTAAAAGTGGGAAATCTTCCTCTGCTGTTCTTCCACCAACAAACAGGCACAGACATTTTTATTTCGGCAGGTCTTTGGCACTGAAGTCTAGTAGCATCTAGATGGCCCTACGTTGCCTATTGTTTGTGTACCTGGTGTGTAAGATGGGGCTTTTGTTGTATTTGGTTCACATGTATTTATTTCTAGCATATTTTTAAATAACAAAATAAGGAACAATCACCAAAGAATACAGAAAAGACCATAGCTAAAATGCAATTGGTAGTCCTAACTAGAGTAAACCTATTGAACCAATTCCTGAACAGTGAATTGACAGTTTTGTAAATCCCATTGATTCAGTGGGTCTGCCCCAGTTTGGATTATCAGCAGTAGTTTGGCTAATACATTGGTATATCTCTTCAGTTAACTGTCAGAGAAAATAGATGTTATTATAAGTTACTAAGGTTAGTCTTTGTTGGTTCCCCTCCCCTTTTTTCTTTTTAAGTTATAATATCTTTGTGAAAAAGAAGATGAAAGACTGTGTTTCCAGAAATAGATCACTGTGTGTTATCCTTCTATCGAATCTTTGATTTTTCAGTCTAACTACCTGTCTGTGCTGTATCCTGCAGTTGTTTTCCAGCACCTGGCAATATCTTGTCTAGCTGCTACTAATAAAAATTTCATGAGATGGCGATGCTTATGATTTCATCAAAAACAGGCGTGCTAATAAAGAGTTTAATGTACAGAATTGTGAGTTATATTTGAGATAATAATGGAAGTGTGGCGTATGAGGTGTGAATAATAAGTAAATACCAGCTTAGGAAAAAAAATAAGCAAAACAATATCACTCTGGTGTTATAGCAAGGGGAACAGAATGCAATATGGTGAAGCACAACTGCACTAATTTATACAGTGGACCCTTGACTTACAGACGGCTTGACTTACAGACTTTTTGAGTTACAGACTTCTCTGGCCACAAAATTTAGGTTTGACTTGCAGCCTGAGAATTGACTTACAGACCAGAAAAAAACCAAAATGGAACAAAAATGGCCTGTTACGGGATTAATCGGTTTTCAATGTACTGTAGGTCAATGGAGACTTGACTTACAGACTTTTGGACTTGAGGACCGCCTTCCAATACGGATTACGTTCTCAAGTCAAGCCCCCACTGTATATTAACAAAGAATATCACAAGCAGCCTCTGGATACAACAGAATATCATTATTTACTTGTATGGGTTAGTCATATTTATGACAACTTTATATGTTCCCCCTCTTCCTTTTTTCCCTGCCACAACTCTGCAAGGTTGGTTTGGCTAAGAGAGACTAACTGTCCCAAAGAAACTGAGTGAGCTTTCTCACCAAGCATAGATTTGAACTAGTCTCGCTCTAGTCCAAGCTCTGCAGTTCCAAGGAGGTGGTGGTGATTATTATTATTATTATTAAATTTAGCACTCTGCTTGGATTATACTGTCTTTCTCAGATTAGTCCTATATAATCTATATATACTGAATAAACAGCTAAGGATGAAAGGAGAACATGAAACAGTTAATACACCTGATTTGTATAATAAGCAAGTATACATTGCCTGGATTTGGAGCACTGAAATATGGCAGCCCTAGCTATAACTCAAGCCTATGATTTTTGCCTGGCAACATTTTTTTTAAAACATGTTTTACTCTATTAATGCTGTCAACAGGTTTTTATGTATATGTTGAAAAGTAAGTCCCATTCTGTCTAAATGAGTTTTGTCCAGTTACAGGATTGCAGCCAAAATGTCTTTCAGTTCCTCCAGTTAAGGTTACACAGGTCCATTACGTTAGAGCTTCTACAAAAAAAATCTCTCCAGGGAAAAAAGTCATTTTATAGAAATCATGTTTCTGAGCAACAGCTGGTGTCAAAACTGCTGTAATACTAGTCATGATTTATTGACTCAAATTTGTATTCAATCCTGGTTTTTTTTTGTCAGGCAGTCTGAATTTTAATCCCCAGTCTTTTACAAATTATGAGAAAGGTGATGTCTATCTTGTATATACTAGTCATGATTTATTGACTCAAATTTTTTTGAGTCAGGCAGACTGAATTTTAATTTAAATTATGAGAAAGGTGATGTCTATCTTGTATCTTCTATCAAAAGAATAAAAGACAAAACAATTTGAAGAAGGGGGGGCTGACAGCTAGCCCACAGTTGTTTCTGATTTTGCTTTATAGTTTGTGAGGTGTATCAGATGGTAATTTAGCTTGCTTTTTTGTTCACTTGTTTCACAGTCTGATTTGATCTATTTTCCAGTGATCTGCAGGAGAAGCACCCCAGCCCTGATCCTTCCCCAGTCAAGACCTTTAATCTTTTTTATTTGTTTGTTTCAACTCCCCTTTTCTCATTAACTGGCACTTACAGTCTTAATAATTGAACCTTGAGACATTAGTTGGAGAAAGAATACAAAGGTTTCATTTACGTACTTACAGTGAACATATAACAGCAAGCTAAAAACATGATTGTTTTGAACAACAGGCCTCAATACACTCACTGCTTTCAACAGACACAGGAAAGGGAAAGAGAGGCTCAGAGCAGAGAAGCAGGGCTCTCTTTGAATTTAGAGGCAGGAACAAACAATTGATTACAAGGGCTCTCTTTGAATTTAGAGGCAGGAAAAAAACAATTGATTACAGAAGATGCCAGCGACAGAGACTGGCAAAACGTTAGGAAGAAAAACTTCAAGAACATGGCCAGGCAGCTCAAAAAAACTACAACAACCAATTGGTTACTGTTGGACAGATTGACAGTCAGCCCAGAAAAGACCATCCCAGCCAAACTCACTAGAGGCAGCACGCGAAGTTGCAAAAACTCCCAACACATTCTTCTGAGCCATGGACCTTACGGGTGACATTCTGCCAGTCTTGGACCGGCCCCTGTCACAAGGATGTTACAGTGATGGGGGAGTGGGGAGATAATGTACTCTGCCATGCAGCTGTCTACTTCTTGCTTAAACTCAAAATAAGGAGTACTGACCCAGGCTGAAGTCATTGGTTATAAGTGTAAGCATTTAACATGAACTTCTTTGTTTTAAGAAGATGAAGTAAGTTGTTGCCCTCTCACCATAAACAAGATTTTTGTGCTCACTAGGGTATAACAATTTCCTATTACATTTCTGATCTTTGATCTCTTATGCTAGTATGGGTATTGTTTTCTGCTAGCCTTCTCTTTCTGAGCAGATTGTGTGAGATGCCCGGCTGGCTCTAAAAATTTCTGAAGAAGAAACATGATTTAAGGTGCAATAAAGCCATTTGGCTCTTCTCCAGATTAGAACACTGTTTCACTGCAAAATCAGAGAAATCTATCTGAAAGCTATTTGCTATTCAGATCATTTATTGTTCTTTTAAGTTTCTGAGTCATCTAATTGCTTGTGTTTGTTTGTCATGAGAATTTTAAAATTTTATTTTAAAACTAAATACAGTGCAAGAAGAGAATTATCTCTTGCTAGCATATAGATGCACATTTTGCCAGCAGCACAAGCCATCCTAGTTTCATGAGAGGCACTGGGGATTTAGGAGAAGTGTATGTTTGAAGTCACACCATATTTGTAAGTCAGGATTTGAGGAATAGTGCAGATTGGCACAGTGGCACATACGTTTTCTGTCAATCTGCAAAAGACGCATGAAATCTCTGTGACCTTTTCAATAAGGATACTAGGAGTTTTCTACCACATAGAGAAAAAAATATATGAGGGAGATATATCTTTTTTTTTTTTTAAACAAACTTCACACACAGCCATGGAAAACTGTGGCTAATGGATATCTTAAGACCTCTTGTTGCAAGCTCTCCTTTTTTTCTTGCTTGGATTGGCTGATGATTTTCGGAGCATCAAGGCTAGCAGTTGAGTGACTGAAATGTAAGCAGAGCCTCTAAAGCCTTCCGTGTCTCGTCTGAGCAGAACTGTAGCCACATATCATTCGACACTGCTGGAGTGCACAGGATCAAAATGGTAAGAAGCTCTTGGGTTTTATTTCTTTTACCAGATTGAGAAGAAATGCTGCTGCTTGGAACAGAAAACAAAGTGTCATAGGACCTGCTAGTGAAAACAGCAATGTGTGTAATTATTTAAAGCAAGCTGCAAGTGGATAACAATAGCATTATCAGTATTTTTTGGAAGGGGAAAGCAAGTGGGCGACAAGTAAACCTGGCACTGGTGTTATATAGTTAATGAAAGGATTTTCCTTTTAGAAGAGTTGCTAAGTGGAGTTGTAATAGAGACATTTGGGTATGTTTGTGTTTTCAGTGACATACGTGCAGTTCCATACATTCAGATGTAAACAAAACAAGTGTTCCAAGAACAGTGCTGATGTAGTATCGATCACTAACTACCTAGTATCTGACTTTGAGTGGATGTGTGACATATGCTTGACATTTGAAATATATATAATAATTAAAACACGTATTCAAATATGTTAAAGAATAGAGCTTAGAATGAGAGAACATTGTCAAAAACAGAGTAGTACAGTACCATTCACTGAAGGAAGTGTGTGTGTGTGTGTGTGTGTGTGTGTGTGTGTGTGTGTGTGTGTGTGTTTGAGAGAGAGAGAGAGAGAGAGAGAGAGAATGTGTTTTAAGTATTAAATAAATATTGAGGGCAGTAAGAATAAGAACATAGCCTGGTCTTCATTTGGATCCATCA